GTTCCAGTAGAACAGTGCTGGGGATTCTAATTCAGCACCAATTGAAACTGAGAGCGAATTGGAAGGTACCTAGGAGGTCTCCCTTCCAGACCCACTTAGCTTCTGCAAGGCTGTGAGATGCCACACTAGCATAGTGAGTGGTGTGTACATGTGTATATGCATGCACACATGCAGTAATTAAGCATCTCTTGGGTATGGCTGCTGCTTTTAGATCAGGCTGCCCATCATGAATCAGGATACTTGCTATTATTGCCTACTGCCTTGCTTGAAAATTAAACATCTAAAATGCTGTAGTTAGTAAGAGTCCAAGGTTATGATAAGAGCTGCAATCTTGGATTATTTTTAATGGTGTCAGTGACCATGTTCTAAACAGGTTCCTACCCCACAGGCCCAGATCTTTCTGGAAATTCTGGAGGTGTAACGTCACATTGGCAACACTGTCCTTTCATTGTGCTTGTACTGGCACTAGGGACTAATGCACAAACCTAGAGTCTAGCTGGAAATTCAGGATTAAGTCATTGTGACCTGTTTGTAATAGTGGATGAATGACAAATTTCTTTTCATACGTGTACTTCCCCAGAAGAACAGGGAATACCTCTGAACTGTTATGTGTCTACAAAAGTTCACAAGCTATTTTCTCCTTCAGAGCAACTTCTTTAAAGTAATCTGAATTTTTTAGGCCTGCATTTTTACTGCCTGTTTTAGGCAAAATGCAGATGCTAATGGTAATGGTAAGAATGGGAGCTAACAGAAGTAGATGGAAACAGGGGAAGGAACTGGAGAGTGAGTAGGATGAGGGATACTGTCATATTGGGGGATCTGTAGTAGGCTGTAAAGTGATCACTAACATTGATGTTATGTCCTTTGAATACAAAACTACTGGCAGCATGAATATTGTGATTCTGTATGGCAGAATATCTTCAACACTTGTCAGCCTTTTGTTTTGACTCTGCATTTGTTTATGTTTTTCCTAGAGTATTTAATTGACCTACAAGGTCGAGATGTCGATGACCCAGGCATGTACTGGGAGTTCTTTGGCAGTTCTGTGTGTGGTAAGCAAATGTTTCCTTACTTACTATATGTTAGAGTTTCCAGTGCATGAGAGAAAGAGAGGAACAAATGTATAGCAAAGCATGCCATGTATCTTTAACAATGTTCTTTATCCTTTATTATTTAAATAGAGCCAAAAACTGAGTCAGGGTTTGACATCCTGTCTAACCCACCTGGCCCAAGTGATGAGGATGAAGATGGCTTTAGCGATATCTTTGAGTTTGAATTCTCAGACGTGCCTCTCTTGCCATGTTACAACATCCAAGTGTCTCTTTCTCAGGGGTAAGAACCATCATAATATGTACGGGGAAGTAATGGTTGCAAAATCTGTTTGAGCTGGCAGATAATGTGGCACTTCTAAAACTGACCAAGTTTCGATTAGTAATTAAGTATGTAAAACCTCTTGAATCTATACTAATTAATTTTGATTGTTCTTTTACGTTAACACTGACAATAAAATTGTTTCACCAGGCTGTAGGTGTAATAAATACTTGGACTAGTCATTAACTTTTGTGATTTTAATGTAACCAGTCAAAATTGACATATATGAAGGTTAATCATTCTTGTCCCTGTGACTTTACTGTGATTCTTTTGTCATTGATTTTAGTAGCAATGGGCTTTCATTCCATATTTCATTTATACTGGGTGTAAAAACCAACTTTTCTCTCCAGCTTCTTTAAAATGCAAAAACAAGCTGAGGGTACAATCCATATTCCCCTGGAATAAATTACAAGTGTACCACTGAGTTAATGATTTTTGAGTGTATATGTGTATAAAAATGTTCCCATTCCAATCAGTGGGTTACTTAGTGTTAGACCACTTATGTAGCATTTCTAGTGACATAATTATGATGTCTGAAACATTTGTGATGTTTTGCTAGTCATCTGAGCCTCTTTTCCTTTTTAATTCATAGACCACGAAACTGGTTATTGCTCTCTGATGTAGCAAAGAAGCTGAAAATGTCACCTCGGATATTCCGCTGCACTTTCCCAAGCATGGAAGTTGTCAGCATCATGGAAGCAGAATTTGTCAAACAGGTATCTTTGAGTCAGCTGTTCTCTTGCAAAAAAGATTTAGAAGCTTTCAGCCCAGAAGGCAAGGAGCTCTTGGACTTGGTTGAATTTACAAGTGAGCTACAGACTTTGCTTGGATCTTCACTTGAATGGTTGCATCCGGACGAGGACGCTGATATTCATTGGTGAACCACCAGGCCACTTAATGTACAGTTCTCTGTAATGTTATCCCTATGTGTATATGTGTTAATGCAGTTGTTTCTGTAAAGAAAAACACTGTTAAATAAGATATCTTTCCTTTATATGTTTTTTTAGAGATTTCACTCAGTTTTTACAAATTGTTATATAAATGTTCCTTTAAATGCACACAAAGTTTTGGTATAAATTTGTTTTTACTTGGAACTTTTTTTTGAAACAATGAAAATGGCTTTGCTTCATACAAAGCACTGATTATACAGGACATAACTGTTATTGGTGATGTGATCAAAGTCATGTGGTTGGCTTGGGCGATTGTATTTGGTAAGGCACTTCAAGATATTTTTGTTTTTTGTTTACAAAATTGCCTGCTTTGGTCAGGTAAACACTATTGAATATAATTCAATAGTATTTAATATAAATTAAAAACCATATCCATGCGCATCAACTAATTGTGTGAACTTTTGTACCTTAATTTAAAAGATGTGAAATTTAGTTTTCACAAGGCAAACTGGATTGTTTATATATATATATATATATGTTTAAACAGTTGATGCTCTTTATTTAAAAGAAGACTTTGAACTATTTTTTCTGTACCCTGTAAAATATTGGAAAACTAACCTATGTTGAAGTTCCATAAAACTGTACAGAAGCTAAATTTTTCTGAATTGTGTGTTTATGTTTGAGATCCGTGTTTTAACTTTGTAAGTAAATTCTTCTGCCTTTGTATTTATATTTTACAAAAAAAATTCTTAAAGGCAATAAAACTGTTGAGAAAACAATATAGAAATAATTGGTTTTATTCATGACCCATGAGTGTTTCTGGGCATCCAACCAGGGCCGGCTCACTCACTAGGCGAACTAGGCGATCGCCTAGAGTGGGACGGCCCTTAGGGGTGCCGAACTGCACCCAGCCCTGTACTCTGGGAGTTTCTTGATTATTTGTGTTTTTCATTCTTCCTAAAATGCATTTATTTTTGAAAAATGGTGGGTGCGGGGGGGGGTGCACCAGAAGGGATCCTCGCCTAGGGTGCAAAACCTGTACTAGTGGCTTCCTCCTGCAACACCCCCTTCCCCCGGTCATGCAAAGCTATGCATATGTGTATGAGTGTGTATTGCAAGCATGAATGGGATGACCTGAAGTCACTTACCCCTTCCTCTACCCTTCCTCAGAGGCAAGATTTTCACTCTGTTTTTCTTTCCCTTTTGTGACTGAGCCGCCCTTATTGTCTGTTTTCTTCTTTCCTGAAAATTCTGGCTGCCCCACCCTGTCACAGTATAATATTTTGGCTGTTCAGAGTTACTTAAACCTTTAGGTTGGTTGAGAGGCTTTTGTTCCAGTGTTTCCCAAATACTCTAGTAAACTTCCTTTAAGTGTTCTCTGACTCTTTTGGTATCCAGAAAGCTGGCAACTCTTCCCAGTACCCAAATCCTTTCTCTTGAAACACCAGTACTTGTCTTGATATTTTAACTGACTTAAGGTCTCTAAAGGCAGCTTCTAAACACACCGGACCAGGGATCTCTGCACTCTTCAGAGCTAGCTCCCTGTTTGATTGGGAAGGGAAATTCTCCCAGTAGAAGATCTATACCCTTTCTTTGGCCCAAATGGGAGTCTTCGCCTACTTCCCAGACTTTCTTGCCAACTTTCCTCCAGTTCTCCTGTCTGTGTTAAACTGCTCTCAGTCAGGGCTGAATTCTGAATGGATCCTCCTCAGCATTCAGCTTTAAAGTCCCTCTCTGCTCACCTGATGCTACCCAGTCAGATGGCTTGGAGTAGCCTGTCAGTCAAGGCTCTCTGTTTCTGGACCACATCATGCAGATGTTTTGATTTTTCTAGTGTAGTCTGCCAAAGTCATGTACTACTAATGTAGTAAGCATTTTTAGTCTTCTAAAACTGTATTGTGACAACACTCTCAGTTGTGCCACAAAAGTTTTAAAGATGATAAAGTGCTGCCGCAGAAGAGTTTTATTTTGAAGTACATCCAGAACATTTAAAACATGACCACTGAATTAAGTTTAAAAGACTGTTCCTTTATGAGACTGGTCTGTGAAAGTTTCCAAATTCCAAGTCATGTTTTTTGGGGGGAAATCTTCCTGGGATGAGTTACCTTAAAATCATTTTAGAGATATATAGATATTCCAAATTTCCTTTTAAAGATTTACATGTAGAACAGAAATCCTGTAGGTAAGGTAGGCTTTGTCCCTGGATCCAAGGCTTGCTTGCCATTATCTATGGACCGTAGGTTTATGGAGTTGTAGGAGATCTGAGGAAAATGTAGAATTCAAAGTATAGGCTAAGAAATGAAGCTGTATAAATAACAGAAGCTGTCTCTCTGAGTTCAATTAAAAGTATTGGTTATGACCTTTAAAGGCCTGTACAGCCTAGGGCCCATCTATCTAAAGGTTCGTCTTTTCCATATGTGCATTGGTCTTCAGGCTCCCACCCGCTAGCTTTTCCCCCAGTTGGGGTGGCCTACCTGGAAAATAGAACCAGTGCTTTTTCCATCATAGATCCTTAACTGTGGGAACATGCTCCATGGTCCAGGGGGGCGGGGATATGGTCCTTAGATTTTTGGGGTGCTGAGAGAGTATTTTATTTGACAGGGCTGTCAGTGAGGTGTAGGCTGCAGGATGTTTGGGGGGCATTTGAAGGTTGTATTCTATATTTTAAATTTGAGTTTGTAATTCATGTAATTAGCATAAATAATAATAGATAAGAATTTTCCAAGGACTTTTATAACCGACCCTCATTCTGACAGTTTATAGTATACTCCTAAGCAGTTACACCCTTCTAAATCTACTGAGGTCAATAGTCCCTCTAACTTTCTTTAGAATTGCCCTGTTAGAGGCAGACATTCTTGTTTAAGTGTAAACCAAAAATATGAAATGCAAAGGTAGCTAATGGAAACGTCAGGCTTTTGTTATTAGATCCCTTGGTCTTCCAAATGAGAATGGCAACAATTTGGGTTTCTCTGTGCTGTACCTTAACTTGAAAACAGCCTTCTTTCCTTCACAGAATTGAATCTACATTACATTAACATAAAGGACAAAATTAGGTTGCATTCTGTCACTATCTGGGTTATAATCCACACCATAGGTTATCATGCCAATCCAAGCAGAAGTGGATTTTAGGTAGACAGCTATTGTCTATTTAGGGCCTGAAATGGCAGAAGACACTTTATATACCTGTGCCAATCTATTTTGTGGTATACCCATTCAGAATAAAGTGACTTGCAAAGTTTATGTGATTATACTGGCCTAGCATCATGAGCTACTCATTGCAAAATTCAGACTTAAACTGAAGAAAATTGGGAAAACCACTATGCCATTCAGGTTTGACCTAGATCGCATCCCTGATGAATATACAATAGAGGTGAAGAATAAATTCAAGGGTCTAGATTTGATAGACAGAGTGCCTGAAGAACTATGGATGGAGGTTCGTGACATTGTACAGGAGGCAGCAATCACCACCATCCCAAAGAAAAAGAAATGCAAGAAAGCAAAATGGCTGTCTAATGAGGCTTTACAAATAGCAGAAAAAAGAAGGAAAGCAAAAGGCAAAAAGGAAAGATTTACCCAACTGAATGCAGATTGCCAGAGAACAGCAAGGAGAGATAAGGAGGCCTTCCTGAATGAACAATGCAAAGTAATAGAGGAAAACAATAGAATGGGAAGGACTAGAGATGTCTTCAAGAAAACTGGAGAAATCAAGGGAGCGTTCCATGCAAAGCTGGCCATGATAAAGGACAAAAACGGTAGGGACCTAACAGAAGCAGAAGAGATTAGGAAAGATGGCAAGAATACACAGAAGAACTATACAAGAAAGACCTCGATGTCCTTGACAACCAGGACGGTATAATCACTGACCTCGAGCCTGGAATGTGAAGTTAAATGGGCCTTAGAAAGCATTACTAACAACAAAGCTAGCGGAGGTGATGGTATCCCAGCTGAGCTATTCAAAGTCTTAAAATATGATGCTGTTAAAGTGCTGCACTCAATTTGCCAGCAAATTTGTAAAACGCAACAGTGGCCACAGGATTGGAAAAGGCTACATTCCAATCCCAAAGAAAGGCAATGCCAAGGAATGTTCAAACTATTGCACAATTGCACTCATATCACATGCTAGCAAGGTCATGCTCAAGATCCTACAAGCTAGGCTTCAACAGTACGTGGATAGATAACTGCCAGAAGTACAAGCTAGGTCTCGAAGAGGTAGAGGAACTAGAGATCAAATTGCCAACATTCGCTGGATTATGGAGAAAGGAAGAGAGTACCGGAAAAATATCTACTTCTGCTTCACTGACTATGCTAAAGCCTTTGACTGTGTGGATCACAACAAACTATGGCAGGTCCTTAAAGAGATGGGAGTACCAGACCACCTCACATGTCTCCTGTGAAACCTGTATAATGGTCAAGAAGTGACAGTTAGAACCGGATATGGAACAACTGAT